CAAACTCTATTTAAAAAAATGTAATTTCATTAATTTGTATTATCATCTTCATCTTTTTACGTATAATTTTCAGTATTTCATTAAAAATTAACATCATGGAGTACCTACTTTGATATAATACTACCAGAAGATTATAGCTTCTTAGAGTATAATAAATACCAATTGAAACAAACAGATTTTACTTCCTTTTTTAAGAAAGAGATACACAAACTAAAAAAAAATCTTGAAAAGCTAAGAAAGAATTGATCAGATGAAAAAAAAGGTGTTAGTCAATTGGAAGAAATTCATAACATAAAGTATTTTATTGTTTTTTTGTATTGTTAGTCGACATAGAGAGGCTAAACAAACTTTAATAGCTATACTATGTAATGATCATCTACTGTCTTGTCTATAGTACTGCATATTGGGTTATAATGATCTTTCTTGCAGAAAAGAACTCACTCAATTACAGAAGGCTCTGCATATTATCAACCTTACAGTAATCTGCGTGACTGCTATGGTTTTCTTCAGCATTATTTTCTTTATAGTAGTTTGTGTACCCATTGTAGTTGTCTCTAACAATGCTTTCTTCACGTGGGCTAAGTGCTAGAGAAAGAGACCAAATTGATAATTTTTTCAAAATATAATTTTTAAGCTTAAAATTAGCTCAGGAACATTTTTCACTTAAGAAAGAAATACTAGTGCATTAATAAAATTTTATAGTATAATCTTTTGAATTTGTATTTTTCTATAGTTAATATAGATTTTAGAATATAAAAATCAATTTTTCACAAAATCTATTTATTGTCAATTTGATTCCTTTCTCTAGCACCTAGTCCACATATTCTAAAATGATCTAAAGTGCTTAAAATATGTGTCATTTATTAAATATTTTATATTTATTATCTTTTATTATAAATAAATCTGAGCTATAGGGATATCGTAAATATGTTTTGGAATTAAGTTGAGAAAAGTTTTTATTTAACAAATTTTTAGTAATAAACAAATACTTATTCATAACTTTTTTAACTATAGTTTGAGGACTTGAACTCAGTTATACAAAATACTACTGAAGTCTTCAAAAATTCTATGTTAAGTATTAATTCTACTATCAAGAATATGAATAACACAGTGGTATAGAACTAAATATTATTATTTTTTGGTTTCACATATTTATATTATATAAATTGACATGATTTATTAGCTTAAATATAATGAAGAGATTAAGGGTATTGAGAGTATTAAACCGAATTCTGAAAGTATCTTAGGAAAGAGGCAGAATTCTAGTTCAAGTGATTATAATTCTTCAACTAAAAGAGATAAAAATGAAATAGCAAAAAAGAAGAAGGCTCTGAAAAAAGCTGAAAGCATTACTACTGATAATAATAGTGATAGTGAAGAGTTAGCCAATATACTAGATTATGATGAATTAGCATTCCTTTTCAATAATTTAAATAAAGATGTAATTATAAGAAAAATTAATGAAAATACTCTTGAGAATGAAAGTAAATTATCACTAGCAAGTAATATCAAGATAAATTTTAATGTTATTATTTGTATATATATAATATATTTAGTAAACATATTATTATTTCAATAGGATTCATTCAAATTTATTGATAAATATGTATTGAATATATTTCAAAAATATCAAAATAAAATCTCTAAAACTTGCAAAGTATTTACGTAAGTTTTGTGTATGTTTTTTTTTTTACTATTACAGTCTGATCATTAATTTATTTTGTTTATCATAATTCTGCATATTAGGAAGTGTTTGATCTAACTAGAGAAAGTTTATATGAATGTAAAGAAATTACTGAAAGTGGTACGTATGTGGGAAGTATAAAAAAAAAAAAATAGCTCTATAATAAAAACTAGTTTACTGTATTGTTTAAGTTACAACAATTCACTCCCTCCACAACATTTTCTTCTTTTCTAATTTACTTTTGAATTTATTACTATTATAGATATGGATTCAAAGAATTTGAAAAAGTTAACAGAAATTCAAATAATAATGTTCAACAACGTGAGCTGAAAAATAAAGAACTACATAATAAAATCGAGGTAACTGAAAAAGATCTGTTTCTTCTTATAATTTAAAAAACTCTTTCCCATAGATCTCAATTTACTAAGAAAAATAAACTACAGGAAAAAAGAATACGGTTTACTACTTG